CTTGAGTGAGAGTGAGGGGGGGGCGGAGGTGGGGTTGGGGGGGTAATTTAATACAAGGGGGGGAAAGCTATGTATATTTAAAAAAAAAACATAAAATAATAAAGTGTTGCAACTAGTGGGCAGACCATGTGTTTGTTTTTGTCATCCATAGTTGCTGACGCTGCACTTTCCTTCGTACGGTCACTGGTACTGATCGATGGTCATCGACACATAGTATATCGTTCTCAAATACTAACAAGTGTTCGTGTATTTCCCAGCTGTTTATTTCTAGTTTGACCATGAAGATGATCTGACTGTTCTCACCTGAGCCGCTGTATTCAAGCGTTTTCTGACCCCTGCTGGTCAAAGGTGGTACTGCAGGACTAGGTGACTAGCTGCAAGAAACTGTGAGAAAGACTGATAGAGACAGTCATTGAAACATAAATATTCACAACTTTAATTATTTATAAAAACAAAACAGAGGTTCATTAATAAATATTTTTATTTCAGTAAACTATTACCCGAATTAACTCTTATTAACCCTTAACTTAAATCATAATCTTGACCGTCCTGTGTTAAACAGTGCCACAGTGTCTTGTTTTCTTTTTTTTTCCCCAGCTGGAGGCCTAGTAATTTAAGAATTATGTTCTTGATCAGAGGGTTGCTGGTTCAATTCCCCTAGTGAGGAGTCTCGTAGACCAAATGTCCACCAGTAGTTAAGTGCAGCGAATGTTCTCTTCTTCTGTTTCCTCTCCTGCTTCAAATGACATCAGTCAGTATATGAGCAGCGCCCTCTATGGCCTGGCTCAGTACTGACAGGTGGTAGTGCACTTTTTGCCAGTCTTTTGAGTCATTTGTTGAATTAGCCGTGGCAAAAGCATCAGCCAAACCCGGGAAGGTGGACTGACCGGCGCTGCTGGAGGCCCAGATCACATGCCTGTGAAATGAGATGGGGGAGAGATGGTGACGGTGACGGTGATGGTGATGGTGATGGTGATGGTGACGGTGTTGGTGACGGTAATGTGATGTGATGGTGATGGTGATGGTGATGGTGACGGTAATGGTGATGTGATGTGACGGTGACTGTGACGGTGATGTGATGGTGACGTGACGGTGATGGTGATGTGACGGTGATGTGATGGTGATGTGACAGTTATGTGACTGTGATGTGACTATGATGTGATGGTGATTTGATGGTGATGGTGACAGTGATGGTGATGTGACTGTAATTCTGATGTGACGGTGATGGTTATGGTGACTGTGATGGTGATGGTTATGGTGATGGTGATGGTGATGGTGACGGTGATGTGATGGTGACGTGACGGTGACGGTGACGGTGATGTGATGTGATGATGATGTCACTGTAATGCTGATGTGACAGTGACGGTGACGTGACGGTGACTGTGACTGTGACGGAGATGCGACTGTGATAGTGATGTGACTGTGATAGTGATGTGACGGTGATGTGACTGTGATGGTGATGGTGACGGTGATGGTGACGGTAATGTGACGGTGATGTGACTGTGATGTGCATCAACATAGTCGTCTCAAACATGAGACACCAGTGTTTCTCCTGACAGGTCATCTCACCTGAAACCATATTTGTCTGGGAAAACCAGGGGGTCCAGAAAAGCTCGGTCCAACAACATGAGCTGGTCGTTAATTTTTCTGGCCTTCATCGGTCTAAGAGAAGAAGAACAGAAGAACACGATTTATGTTTTCACTGACAGGTGAGACATCAGGTGTCCTACTTTTTATGAGACATTTTCTTGGTTGTCCTACTCTTACATGATGTTTTTTGATTTTTAAAACATTTTTTTTTAGAGGAAGAGAAAGTACAACTTTGGTCAGAGAGACTGGGGTCTCTACAGGTGGGTAAAGTCTGTGGAGGCCACTGCAGTAAAAAATGTTTTGCGTCAGGGTGAAGTTCCTGTTCCTCATGAAAGTCGTAAAAAGCTGCTAAGAATTTTTTTTTCTTTTTAATTTCAGACAAAACAAAACTTTGCAGCCAGCTGCATGCTCTGAGTCTGGATCTGCTGGAGATTTCTTTTGGGTAAAAGTATATTGTACTCAATGATAATAAATCTATGTTAAAGAATGTTTATGGGGAGAGGTTACATTTCAGATTAAAGTCAGTTAATTTTTTGCTGTTTGATAAAATAGACTCGACTCTTACGTTTCATTGGCCAAGTCCGAGTCGTGAATCATGCGATCCATGTGAGAAGCTGCACGACGAAAGCTGCTCACGGCTTGTTTTAAAGGCTCTGGGGAAAAAAATAACAAATAAGTATTTATTAAAAATACAATTTAATAATATAAACTTTTTTTAAAAAGTACACAGTTGGCTGTGTAGCTCTGTTAGCCCTGCGCTAACAGAGCTAATGACTTCTTACTAATTCTTAGTGAAATTTTTACTTAGCTAGCTAGCTCGCTCTTTTAGCTTACCTTCGTTTTTTACAGTATTTCTTTTAATATCATTCTCTCTCTCTCTCTCTCTCCCTCTCTCTCGCCCTTACCCATGGATATATCTTTAAGTTTCGGCTCATACAGGCTCACAGCTCTGTTTAGGTAATCTTCCAGACTCTCCGCGTAGTCACTGCAGTTTAACGGCAGCACCAGGCTGTCAGCCAATCGGATCATCATATTCCCCGCCGTCCTGGCCACGGCCTGGTGACTGACGAAGCCTGAGAAGAACAATATTTGTTTACACGACCTGTGGATGAAACTGCTATACTAGACTCAAGACTAGGTTCTCAAACTATGGCACACTTGCCACAGCTGGTACTTGGGCTCCCTCTAGAGTACATGAGTCAAACTCAAGGCCTGCTAAGCCATTTTGTGTGGGAGCTTGAGAAGAATTTAGTAAAGCCATTCAGCAGAGTTTCTTAACCCAAGGAATTAAATGTTTTTTGAGATATTTTTCTAAAATATTGTCAGATTATCTTTAAAAAAAAAGTAAATGGATATGACTGGATTTTTTTTTTTTTTTTTTTTGAATAAAGTAAATTAGTAAGAATAAAGTACATTATTTCACTGTGTCCCACTGCGGCCCGCTACCAATTGACCTATGGACTGGTACTGGTCCGCGGACCACAGGTTGGGGACCTCTGATCTATACAGTCTTCCATTTACAACCGGCCCTTTAAGGGGACGTGTATTGCTGATGTGGCCCCCTGGTGATGAGTTTGACACCCCTGCTCTAGAGTCTAGAGGTAAGAAAGGGAATCTGATTCTCACTAATAAACGTAAATGATGTTGTTTTTTGGAGAAACACTGTAACATTTCTCACCAGGGTCGATGAACCTATCCACGTAGTCGAAGGTGTCGTACGCAGTGTGGTAGGCGGGGTAAATACGAGCATTCGTCTTAGTCTGCACGAAAACAAACAAATAAATAATCAGAGAGAATAAAAAACAAGGGCAGCTGTAATGAAGTCTCTAATCTCACTAAACTAAACTAAACTGAAACTGGAATATTTTCATTGTTTTTTGTCAAAATTCTACTTCTGAAGCGATGACTTCCTCACCCTGTCATATGTGTAGGAAAGGTCCAGCGACGTGATTCCGAGGTAGTGGACGAAGGCGGCGTAATCACTGCCTGCACCCGTCAGGTATCCCATCCTACACCAGAGAAAACCACTTTAGGAACTGATTCATTCAGGTATCGCTCCACCTACCATGATGATGATTCTTTTTTTATTATTATTATTTTTTGTATTTGTATATATGTTCTTCTTCTTCTTCTTCTTCTTCTTCTCCTTCTTCTTCTTGTTCTTTTTCTTCTTCTTCTTCTTCTTCTTGTTCTTGTTCTTCTTCTTCTTCTTCTTCTGCTTCTTGTTCTTCTTCTTCTTCTTCTTCTGCTTCTTGTTCTTCTTCTTCTTCTTCTTCTGCTTCTTGTTCTTCTTCTTCTTCTTCTTCTTGTTCTTGTTCTTGTTCTTCTTGTTCTTCTTGTTGTTGTTGTTGTTGTTGTTGTCGTTGTTGTTGTTGTTGTTCTTCTTCTTCTTGTTCTTCTTCTTGTTCTTGTTCTTGTTCTTGATATTTTATTATATTTTATTATTTTTGTATTTGTATTTTCATTATATTTTATTATGATTATTATTATTATTTCTATTAGCAGATGTAAAAAAACAACAACCGTAGAATAAGACCATTTAACACATCAACAATTTTGTTCTCTAGCGCCACCCTCAGCCGCAGTGCTCGTCACACCTGCGGCTCCTCAGGTGGTCATATCTGCAGGTCACTACCTGGGGATTTCTCCATGTGTTGGACTGGTCTTGTTGCTGTAGCGTAACCAGTTCTCGTAGACGGACGTCTCCGTTCCTGGTGCAGTGACCTGAAGGGACACAGTTCTGGTTAAGGTCCAGATGATACTGAACTGACTGGGTTTTTGTCAGGTGGAAAGAAAGCGAAGTAAAGTGTAGCTATTTTTTTTTTCTAATCTTTTTCCTCATCATCAAATATGGCTAACTTTGTTTGATATAACTTATATCTTTCTGCTAACGTTTAGCATATTTTTTTTTATTTAACTTTCAAATAATGAAATATTTCACCTGTTTAGCAGCTGTGAAGAGAACGTTCTGCATTGAAGGCATCCCTGACGCCCTGAGGGTGGCGTTAGCTGGAGAGGAAACCAATGTCATTGAATACGATGTGTTATGAACATACCGTATTTTCCGCACTATAAGACGCACTTAAAAACCTTTAATTCTCTAAAAAATCGACAGTGCGCCTTATAATCCGGTGCCCCGTATGTATTACTTTTGGTTGTGCTTACTCAGCTCGAACCGATTTTATAAAGCCAAACACATGATGTCACGCAACTGAAGCACGGTGGGAGTCAACAATGACGTTTAACTCTGTTATCACAATCAGAAGATGCTCAACAACAATTATTACAGTATGGTTCTGTAACCTAAATCCGTGCCTCCAAACACCCGGAGACTCTACGTTGTGTTTTTGTATTGTCGATGTATGGTGCGATGCAGGACGACTCAGACGCACGGCTGTCGATTTTTTCGTGGTCAAGAACTCTTTTTATTTCTCCTTTTTTATCGATACAGGAAAAACACACTCTCTCTAACCCTAACAAAAATAGTGACAACCGTCTGACACTGCAGGGGTGAACAACAACAACAGCGTCCTCCAGTGTCCAACTTAGGTCACTACCCTTTTCCACAAATCTCCATCCCTATTGGTCTGCGACTCCGTGCGTGCCCATCTCATCAATATTGTCAAAACCCAAGTGAAGCAAACTGATTCAGGGCTTATCATCATTCCTGGTTGATTGACCAAAGAATAACAACCACTAAATATTGGTGTTAGCAGGGGGTTCAAAGTTAAATTACGAGCTGCGTTGGCGAACACAAAATCACAAAGACAGGGAGGTAACGACGAGAGAGGTACGTCACTATCTGCCAATGTATCGTGGATGCCTGGGCTAAGGTATCAGTCTTGAATGTCGTCAGAGCTGAACAACTAATTAACAGCAACGAGACTGACTCAGATAATGCGCCTTATAATGCGGTGCACCTTATGTATGAAAATATTCCCATTCATTGATAGTGCGCCTTATAATGCCTTATGGTCCGAAAAATACGGTAATTACAGTAGGTAAATATTCTGCAGTAAAAAATGTTTGAATATAAATGTATTTATATATTTTTTAATACATTTATATACATTATATCTACATGGTGTTGGATCCACTGTAACCATGGAGATTTTCTGCGCTGTAAACTAAGAGCTTCTTACCAAAAACGGCTATATCCACATTGATGTAGGCAATGGTGCGTTCACTGAGCTTGGTGAAGTATTGCTGTGGAAAAGAAGAAAAAAAAAGTTCCGATCTTGTAAATAAGATATACAAAATTCTAATTGACATGAAATATTACACTAAAATATATGAATTCAAGGAAAATAATGCAACATATTCGGTTACCGTTTACATACCCAGATACCTTGCATCGAAGACAGGGGGTGCTAAAAACAAATGTGAGCTAAACTAAGCTAAGCTAATCCATCCCCATTATTGGATCTGATAAGGATAATCATTTAATAAGGGATGTCTTATATCAACTTTTTGCCGATATCCGATATGCAGATTTTGTCCAAACACTTTCCGATTCCGATAGCAACCGATACCGATATACGCAGCCTTTTTCCCCAAAACTGTGGTAAATGTTTGGCGAAAAACGTGGGTATCGCAGTATCGGATTTTCATCGGAGGAAAAAAAACAATAACAGATATTACATAAATATGCTAATATGGGGCCGATAATATCGGTCGAACGATTTTATCAGACATCCCGACCTAAAATACATGTTTCATGTGACCAAAGTAAATACTTTTGTTTGATTGGACGGTTCCTGTTTTATGGCTTCCCTCTATGTGAATCACCTCTGTGTATTCTGCAGAACCGATAAGGCCGAACTCCTCTGCCCCCCAGCTGCCGAAGATGATGGACCTGCGTGGTCTCCACCGGCCTGGGACACAAACAAACAAACAAACAAACAAACAAACAAACAAACAAACAAACACGGTCCATCAGCAGTGAGAGAGACCAACACCAGAGTCAGAAACCTCCCCTCTCCTCACCCTGCTTCACCATCCGGCCCAGCACCCGGGTCACCTCCAGCATCACCGAGGTCCCACTGCTGGGATCGATGGCCCCGTGGACCCAGCTGTCCCTGTGGTTCCCGTAGATCACGTACCTGTCTGCGGAAGTACGGGTACAGAACTTAGGATATAGAAAGGAGTGTCGGTAGACGGAGCGCATATGGAAGAACGCCATTGGACGTTGGCTGCTCTTGGGTCACATGACTCACCTGGCTCCACACTACCACGGATCACTCCCATCACGTTCGAGGAGTTCTTCAACTCCTGGAAGTTGAAGATGTCCAACTTCACATCACTGACAGAGGGAGGAGGAGAAACTCAGAGGTGAGCTGTTACATCATACACACACACACACACACACACACACTCACCTGCTGTTAAAAGCGGATGTGTTTTTGAAACCTGGACCACCAAAGTTATAGGAGCAGTTGCGGGCCCCCTGCCACTCGGGGGGAGCTGGGTCTCCTTCGAGCTCGCTGGTTAAATCAGTAAAGAGTAAAAAAATTTAAAAAAAATAAAACTTAGACTTGACCTTAGAATATAAATCCATGTCTGGTTTTAAATGAAAAAAACAAACAAACAAAAAAAGAACCCAGACCAGATTAGTTTGTAGGCGTCCTCAAATCCGATTGGTTGAATGGGAATGGGCGGGATCCCAGTGATGTCCTCCTCGGGGATCCTGTAGGTGTCCTCTGTGGAAAGAGGAATCTGCTGAGGCGAAGAACCGTCACAGCCGTAATACACTGTATAAATGCACCTGCGGCACTTTACCTTTGGCTGCTAAGTACGGCGTGAGCATGTCTCCGAACTGAGTATTAAATGATCCTCGCTCCACACCAGAGGGCGGCAGGTACCAGGAATTGGGGTAGGTCTCATTGATGTCTGACATGAGGCCATCGTTGATGTCCAGAGGGTCAGTGTAGACTAGAACACCGAGGACACCGAACGGAGCTGCATTGATGGCCTGGATAAGGATCACATGACGTAACGGTCCATTAGAACATTATTATAATGGAGAACGTTGGTCGGAAAATGGACAACAGATACCATATGATACAGTACTACAACATACCATATGATACAGTACTACATGATACCATATGATACAGTACTACAAGATACCATATGATACAGTACTACATGATACCATACGATACAGTACTACATAATACCATATGATACAGTACTACATGATACCATACGATACAGTACTACATAATACCATATGATACAGTACTACATGATACCATACGATACAGTACTACATAATACCATATGATACAGTACTACATGATACCATACGATACAGTACTACATAATACCATATGATACAGTACTACATGATACCATACGATACAGTACTACATAATACCATATGATACAGTACTACATGATACCATATGATACAGTACTACATGATACCAGATGATACAGTACTATACGATATGATATGATACAGTACTACAGGATATGATATGATACAGTACTACATGATACCATATGATACAGTACTACATGATACCTTATGATGCAGTACTACATGATACCATATGATGCAGTACTATATGATATGATATGATACAGTACTACACGATATCATATGATACAGTACTACAAGATGTGATATGATATAGTACTACATAATACCATATGATACAGTACTACATGATACCATATGATGCAGTACTATATGATATGATATGATACAGTACTACACGATATCATATGATACAGTACTACAAGATGTGATATGATATAGTACTACATAATACCATATGATACAGTATTACATGATACCTTATGATGCAGTACTACATGATACCATATGATAAAGTACTGCATGATACGATATGATACAGTACAACATGATATGATATGATACGATGTGATAAGATGTGTTATACAATATGATACCATATGATACAGTACTGCATGATACGATATGATATAGTACTACACGATGATGTGACGTGACTTATTAGGATACGATGCAATACCATACGATATGATGTCAATGCACTACCATTATGATGAGTCACTACATAACATGTTTTTCTGTCCCGTCTTTCCTTCCTTCCTTCTTTCTTTGCTTCCTTATTTTTTAACTATGGTTTACGCCTGTCACCTGTGCACTGTTATAAAGATAGATGTCAATAAAAATGTAACAAGGTTAAAATTTTACACATTTATTTTCCAATAAAACACTTTTTCATTTCTTCCCTCAGATGATTACCACTGTAAAAAAACAAAAGATACGACTCGATGATGATGTCAGCATG